GGGGGTGTTTGGAGATAATCAACGTTTTGCATTTACAAAGAAAAAAAATGCACTTATATAAAAAAATTAGTAAAAAAATCACATTTAAATGAAAAATGCAACCATTGATAGCAGCAAATATAAGCAATGTTTCATTCAAATTGGCAGGGGTCGAAACAAAATTGACATATTTTTTAGCGTTTTGGGCTGGAAATGCTCGATAGCAAATTGGTTTCATCGAAAAAAAAAATACAAGTGCCATATAAATGTGTAACAGATCTCATCTTGATCAAATCAATAGTTTATGTTATGATTTTTTGAAAAAATATAATATTTTTATTTTTAATTCGCACTTTTTATAAGTTACTGTGCAGAAAAAAATCATTTTGGGTTGGAAATGCTCAATAGCAAATTGGTTTCTTCGAATAGAAAGGTGCATATAAATTTATAACAGTGTCTACCAATATACCAACATACCAATTACGAAAAATCTTAGGGGCTGTTCATTAACTACGTAGGTAGACAGGTTTTTGGGAGTCTTGACTCCCCTCCCCCTGCGTAGGAAATTGTCCATACAATTATTTTTTTTTTAATTTGTATGGGCCGTGGAAAGTTGCCAACCCCCCCCCCCCCCTAAACTGTCTACGTAGTTCATAAACAGCCCCTTATAAACCTTTTAAAATATTTCACTGAAGACCGTCCTCTTTAGTTGGGTTTTCACAACTTTTGAATGCCAGCTATATAGTTTTGACGCATATTTATCTTATAGATGTGTTTGTAGACCATAAATTCTATTAGTCTAAATGCTGTGAGAATTGAATACATGGTTGCAAACTAAGACGGTGCATCGCGCGCTATCGCTATGTGTCGATGTTTCTATCTCACAAGTAAGAGCGGGTTTCCCCCAATGAAAAGAGTGGAATGATGGTATGTTCCAATTATGTACACTACTAATTTAAGGTGAATATATTGGACACCCGAACATAAATTAGTGAGTGATTACAATCAGGGTTGCTTCCACTCACTGATGTTAAATGATATTTTGTACTTGAAGAGGTTGTGAAGTATGTGTTTGACACAAACCTGTCAATTGCACTTTCAGAGAGTTACATCAACAATTTTATGATTCGTGAGGGCTCATTCTAAGTGATTGTGACTTTCTGAAAGCAAAATTGACAAGTTTGATGTTTCAAAACAACTTTTTCTTGTAAATTACTAGCACAGAATATCATTATAACATTATTCATAAATAAAAAAAAAATACAGCGAAGTGTATGGAAGCAACCCTGATTACAATCAGGAGTATTTTTGGAGCCTTTGCTTAAATACAATAACCATAATGATATTTTGACGATGATGTGTTTGCCTTATCACATTGAACGTGGCTTCTGTTCCGTGTGCTATCATTTGTCAAACGTTTATCAGATGTTGGTGGCATGTAACGAGGCGACCATGGAGTTTAACCATTAGATAAATGTGTAGATTCTGCGAGAGTAATACATTTCCGCCACGATATATCAGAGCATCTCATGAGTGTACATCAAATCAACGATGAAAACCGCATAATATTCAGGAAAGCTTCTGGTTCGGCCGTTATGAAAAGGAATTTTAAAATACTCTGATATGAATGCATATATAATTTCTCGTTGAGCATGTTTGGTTTGTGAAACGTGCTGAGGGCAGATTGTTGGATTGAATTGCAATTTATGGATATACATCAGCTGCATGGTTTCGTTACAGATATTTGTGCGATCGGTTCCTTCCGATAGCCTTGTCTGTAATAATGCAGTACATCATGTCGGAGGCGGTGGGTTCGGAATAATTTATATTTTTCTGTGCATATAGCAGCAGTTTACTTACCACGCATTAATGAATGCAAAAAATTAGGAAATACAATCAAAGCAAGTTGATCGCAGGCCGTATAATTGATATGTAATGGCCAAGAGGAAAAAGAAGAGTAGCAAGATTTTACTATTAGCGGCGCCGGTGGTGTAGTGGTAAGCGTAATTACGCCGCCGGGATGTTCTGAGGCATAACATCTCTGATCAAGCCTTCCTTCGGAAGGGAAGTAAAGCCTGTGGTAACGTATTTTTTATAACATAATCTAATGATAAATTGTTGTATTCAAAATTTGACTAATGAGTTTCCATTTTTTCTAACGCATGGGAACGCCATTGGGTTTTTCGTCATTTATATATAGGTAGCAAAAATGCTTTAAAAGAGTGCTTCATTTCTTATAGAAAAATTTGTATGAATATTCCAAACACGCATTCATATTTCCTTAGAATTGTAGGTTTAAAGTATAAGTGTCGATATCATTTATATTTTTGATGATTGATACTCAATTGGACGGAAATAGCCTATCAATGCTATCAATAATTAATAATAAAGTTATATAATATATGGGTAAATGTTGACTTAGGAACCCATTTACTGTTTCCGGGAATCAAAATTGTAATCGTCAAAATACTTCGTTGAATGCATACACACAATTCCATGTTCAATATGATTTCCAGTTTACGAATGAAGAATCCTGTTATGCTATTTTTTCATTAAATGAAATATATTCTTCTTCTTTTTTGCATTTAAAGCTTATTTCTTATCACAGCTTATTTTTTATAAGCGTATTGCGTGTTCTAAACTTAGTGTTCTAGATGCAGTCGATGCCTGTACCATTTTAACATTAGAATAATTGTGTGGCACAATCATAATCGGGGAAGTCGCGAAATTTTTCAACCTGAGAAAGTACCGACTGAGCTAAGGGAGGCCTCTATGAAATATATGCACTACAGAATTCGACTGATTTAGAATTGCCGATAATATAACAGCTGGTTAGCACGCAGTTCAAATGGAAAGGTAACCGAAGAAAAAGAGGCTGCCGACAAAAGTCACACTCACTTGAGAAGTTTGGAGCGTTTTAAAAACGCATTCAAACAGTTTTGGGCAATTCTGTCGATTAGAATGGACAGATAAGCAAGCAGCAGATAAATGTATGCAAACAAACACGTCATATGCGTGCGTGACGCTGAGAAGCGCGGACGATGCATAGATTGACGAGAAAACGTAAATTCCCTTCTTTTTATTCTTTACAGCAAAAAATAAATTTTATTATTTACATTCAAGAGGATACACTTCAATCATGTCGAATATCTAATGTAGTTTTTATGGCCACGAAAATAAACAAATGCAGTAAAAGCAGCGTTGTGTCAGTTCATTCACTGTATTAATGATAATTTTGTCCATTTTGGCAAGTAATATTACACCATGTTTCCGACACGATTGAAGTGCATCTACTTTGATGTGATAATAAATTAAATTAAATTAATGCTGTGTTTATCTGGGAGATTTGTAGTCATCTCCGAATAGTATATGATAAATATGTGTTATTAAAATTATGATGCTCATATTTTTACCATGATAATAAGAATGAGCATGACTGAGCGCCCGCAGTTGACACTCCGTTATTGCCGTTATCACCTGTAATTACACACTATGTATCATCCTCAATGTGTAAAAACTGGTGATCTCATATTTTATCATAGGCAATACCAGCGCCGGCCACGTCCGAATACAGGTCAAGAAAGAAATGGATAGAAATGTGTTGATGTGACACTCGCATTGCTGGAAGTAAAGAAATCCTCTGCACTTAGACAAGAAATAACAGGGATATTGGATAAAAGGGTTGGATATACAGCATGGTTCGTTTTGGAAAACGGAACGCTCAAAAAAGTGATATGTTGCGAGAAAAAAAATAACTAACGTATCTTTAATGTGAAAGGGCATGAGATTAAACTCATGATGTTCTGCTCAGTAAGCAAAATCAGTCGCTATAAGACCACCGAGCTCCTTATGCCACATCATAACACTTATGATCGAGTTGCTCTTGTAACCATTCAAACCCGGCACCGACGAAAACGACAACAATTTTCACAAAACTCGCAATGTGACTACGAAACTCTTTAATACGATGGGCCCTAGGTTTGATCCCATGATTATCTGCTCAGTAAGCAAAAACGGCCGACCCCCTCATACACACCACGATCGAGTTGATGCTATAACCGTTCAAACGGCGTAGCTCTTTACACCAATACGACCGACAATCATGCAAACTCGGAAACATAAAGCTACGGAAAAGCACTTATCCCTGTATTAAATTCTACTTTTACGCGATGATCATCATTTCGATAAGGTCTTCATGGAAGATGGAAACAGAACTTATAAAGCTTTCATATGTTTCTTTGTTTTTTTTCTCTGTATATTATTTTAATGTTTTTCAATTCCATCTTATTATTATGTATTGTTTAGACTACAAAGTAATAAAATGTTCAATTATTGATTAGAAAATATCGTTAAGATAGGTTTATAACATGTTATAGCTGCTCAGTTCGGTCAGTGTTTAAAGTGCGGATTCAAACACTACGATTTAAAATTGCACCAGCTTTACTTTAATTTTATCTAAAAAAGAACTTTTTCTACCCTTCTCGGAGTTCTGAATTATGTTTCAAGATTAGCAAAAACTAAACTCATCACACGTACACAAATACACATTCTGAAGTTTAACTGTCGCGTTAAATATCCTCTTGTTTAATTTTGAGCTATACTTAACCTAAACATCGAAACAGCTTACAAGCGTGTATACAACATTGCTGATTTAAGCAATATTGCGCTTACATTTACATGAAGTACCGTGTTAATTTATGCCAAATCTAGCGTTAATACCGTGTGCGCTATATATAGCAGAAATTTAAATATCCCGTCAGATAACAAACGGAACTCATGAACAATGATAAAATGTTTATATGAATGTTTTTCAGCTGGAACAAGCTCACCAATCTATCCATGATCGATGTCCAATGGTGTGGACTCTCATATTATGAACCCAAACTTCACCCTAACTTCACATGAACCCAAACTTACTACTTCATTCAGAAATGATAGAAAACGACCCGGAACTCATCCAACATATTGCGCTGATATTTCTACCAAAAGTAATAACATCACTCTTTTTATTATGTTTTCAGATCAAATCTTAATGGTGACACTTGTCTGACCGCGAAAATAAATACCAACGAGAAAGCATCGAAAAAAAAATCACATTAGCATCAGCAATAAAAATTGCAACTGATTATGTGATTGAAGAATACATCAATGTTATAATGCCGTAATCTCCTTTGGATTTATTTCTTTAGGTTTTTCATCGAGAGTACAATCAAACTATATTTGGATCAAAACCAAAACTACGGTAATGAATGTGAGAGCCCCGTCCATTGCTGGTGGTCAATTAAATCATTTTAATTAAATATTTTGAACTTTTAAACTATTGGTCTTCAATGCTTGTACCAAGATCACGAACAAAACCTAATACGGCAATCCATTTTAAACTGCATTTGGTTGGCTATTTTGAACTGATGTCTTTATTCTTGTTTCATGTTTATTATTATTATTATTACTATTTATAGAATAAATACTTATCAGAAAAATAGTGTTAAAACAATTGAAAATTAGATTAATTATTTAATGTTTATGTTAAATAAACTGTTAATATATGTATTTACATTTACGCTCCAAATCATATAATCATATAGGAGTACTGAATTTGAAAACAGCTCTTTATTATTTCGCCAATATGTACTTCACAAAATGGTTTCCTATAAGTGCATGGTTATTTTTCGATCTTATATTCCATTCGAATGTCAAACCCACAGCATATGTATGGATTGAACAAAACACTCGATAAGTGAGCTCTTTACTACTAGGCATTATATTAAATATCTAACTTTTTATATAACTTAATTAAAATACCTTTTATGTATAGAAATTCTTGTAAGCGCCAGCCCAGGGCTGAAAGTCTCCTTAATAAAGATAAAAAAAATAAAAAAGTAAAACTAGTATAAGTTAAAGGAATTTTAAAATTAGTATTTGAATTGTTTCTTACGTAAAATCTTTAAATTCGTTTATGTGATTTTTAAACATTTTTAAGGATATTTTTACTATTCATCCGGTATAGTGCTTGTAGTACACCAACTGTTTCAAACTGTTAACAACTACTGTATACGCAGCTTTTAAGGATCAATGGAATTCAGGTCGGTATTACATACTAACAACTTCAAAAACTATGTATTGTGCAGTAAGAATCGGCTCTTTTCTCACGTGAATTGTGACATTACTCCGTTGCAACTTGAAATAGTCCTCTGTCATAACATCGTCTAGAAGTTATACAAAGTATTTCGAGACCATTCTGGTGTGGATTGTGGCTATTGCCGTTCTTCATATGCATGAAGGACTCACACCATGAAAGTGAGACCTTCAACATTTGAATTCAATTTTAATTCGGGATGTACAGTAATCCCTCCATATGAGCGGTAAACGTTATCATCCACCCATTTCTTTTTCTCGTTTTTTTTTTATTGTTGTCAACCATAAACTAGTTATCTATAGAAAATCAGCTCTATAGGTTGCAGGACTGTCAAGAAATAGGGACAGCCAAATTAAGGGATTACAGTATGCGTAAATTGTGACAATATAAGGCGCAGCAGTCAGGACTGACAAGAATAAATTCCTATTAGCTAGATAAAACTAAAATTATGAATCCTTTTTTATCCGAGATATTTGTTTCTAAGCTAATATCAATTTCGTATAAATATGTCTTATGGTTAAGATTTTTTAAAAAATATCAAGATCTTCTCAATATCTGTGTAACACACAAAGTGTTGGGATATGAGGATCAACTGCCTGGTTTATTCATTAGAAATTGAACTTTCAATTCGATGCCCGATAAAAATCAGGAATTGGATTTGTTTGTGTCCTTAATGCTCTTTAATCGCAATTTCTTCTTTTTTTGATTCTTTGAGAGTTGCTTTGTCCAATTCAAGAACCATTATATGCTTTGATTCATTGAAAAAACTTTTTCTTTGGTATTTTTTGCGAATTTTAATGATAATTTACATTCATTTTCTCACCAAAACACTTCACTTTTTTTTTACTTAAATGATTCTCTAGTCTTTCAGCTTAAATCTTATTGGATTTTTACGACTGAGCGAATGCATTTTGCCAGGATTTATTTCAAATAAAACACACGTACTACAAAATATTGCTGATTTAGAGTTTCCGATACTTCAAATGAAAAAGGTTGCCGAAGAAAAAAAGGTTTCCTACAATAGTCACACTCACCTGAGAAGTTGAACAAGCGCTTTAAAACAGTTTTTGGACTATTATATCGACTAGCAGCAGATAAATGTAAACATACAAATACGGCATATGTGTGAGTTACGTCGAGCAAAAGCCCATAGAATCGCGGACGCTGCTAAGATTGACGAGCATACGAGAATTCCCCTATATGAAACGCAAAATACTTGGTTTTATCATACAAATTATGGTTCCAAACAATCACATATAGCCGCATAATAAAGCAATGACAGTTAACCAAGGTCTGTGTAACCCAGGTAATGTAAAAAATTTATACAAAAACTACTGCGCTTATAAGAATTTCGCATCAAAATTATAGAAATTTAAGGTCTAATTTAAAACCATGAATCAAATGCATCAATTCAAACACACTAGATGACATGAGCATAAGCCATGTAAAACACCCATATCGATATGTTGTATTCTTATGCAGTATTCAAAAAATTATTTTGAAAAACATCCATGCTCTTATAGGAATTTCGCTCACTGTGTATCTACGATGACAAATTTTACACTGTCCGAAATAAAATATGAAAAGTTACCACAATTTAAGTTTTTATTTACTCTTCCGAAATTCCATACAAAAACAGCCAATCAGCTTTGGCTATACTAAGGAGGGGCCATCCTTCGTTCAGTCGGTAAAGGCACAGCTATAACGCAAGACCATGCTGGAGGCGACTGGGTTCGATTCCCGGTCAGGTCTAAGAATTTTTCGGTTTGGAAAATTTCGCGACTTCCCCGATTATGATTGTACTTGCCACACAATAATACTAATGCAAAAATAGTACAAGCTAAGAAAGTTCTCAATTAAAAACTGCAGTTGTGCTCAAAAAACACTTTGTTGAGAGCCGGCGTAAAGTCCCAGAGGGAACTTAATAAAACCATAACTAGAAGAGATACAAAGGTGATTTTTGTTTGTTAGTTCTTGTTTTCTTCGTTGGTCTTTGTCCCGCTGTATGTGCTATGCATTGACGCCAAAGAGACGCCTGTACCCTAGATGCCAAACCAGTGCTTCCAATTTTCAAATAATTCAATTGAAAATGATCCAGTACAACCATTCAATAAATTCTGCGCAACGTATTTTCTCATGTCTATCAATTGTTGAACCACTTTTTCAAACGATCTCATCGTCTAACAATTGAGTTACATTCACTATAAATTGATATACGGCAGTGGACTATGGAAGAAACCTAAAAATTAGCATCAACAGGCATGTAGACCCAATGTGGGATCAATTTCAGGAAAATTTAAGTCTGATGTCGATCCATTGTCGGGTCAATGTCGAGTTGTGGTCTGGTAGAAGTCTGATCAGGCTCAACCGAATGAATTCTGTTCATTATATATTACAATAACTCATAAACCTACAGTCAAGAATTTCAACACGAAAACCTCTGATATTCAATTTTTTTTTCCATCAGCACGTGATTAACTTCCAGTGGTTTCACAAACATAGCAATCTCACCAAACGGGGGCATAACGCTTCCATTGGAAAAATGAACACAAATCTTGGTCTTCACTTATATTTTGATCACTAAATGTTTGCTTCCAACGGCCACATCAATATTATCGACCTAAGAAACTGCAGATGATGAACAAAGCACACCGAACAATAGCTGCTATCGTGTATTTAAGACAAAGTCCTTAAGAACTAATAATGTGAGAATTTACATCCACTATTCTCAAAAACAAAAGAAGCTCTCCTAGTAAATCAATTTTTCTGCAGTTATCCGTAAGCTGAAGTAAATCCAATGATGTTAGTAGTGTTTGATAGAAACATACCATGTTTTGTTCACACAAGCACAATGTTTAGAAAAGTTGTGTTGTAGATCAACTTACTGAAGGAACTTTTCGTTAGAAACAAATTTTCTTTATCTAGGGGAATTTACGTATTCTCGGCAACCTAAGCAGCGACCTTCTTTCTATAGCCTTTTTCTCTATGGAACGCACACATATGCAGTATTGGTTTGTTTACAATCTTTTGCTGCCAGCTGCTCTAACAATTTCAGTCGAAAGAATTGTCAAAAACTGTTTTGAAACGTTTTTACAAAGCTCCAATCTTCTCTAGTGAGAGCGAGTATTGTCGGCAACCAGTTTTTCTTCGGCAACCGTTCCATTTGAACTGCATGTAAATCTGCTGTTCTATTATTGGCAACTCGAAATCAGCTACAATTTGTAGTGCGTGTGTTTCATTTCAAGAAAACCTTGCTAGATTGCTTTTTCTCAGTAGTAAAAATATAGTCAAATTGAAGCTGAAAGCATAAAGAATCGTTTGCATGCATTCAGCGAAGTGTTTTCGTAAGAAAATCCAGTGAAAATAGTGTTTCAATTTGGGTTGCCGAAAATAGTCTGTCATGCCGAAGCCGTCATTGCCCCTAATAGTTATTGTTGATAAGTTTTAAATGAGTAACACAGGGTGACAACACTTGAAAGTAAGTTTTTTCAAAGCTGTTATTCCTTGATTTGTTTTCCGTGCTGAGCACCAATGCTACTGACGCCAGGGAGGCAGCTCCCACACCTGGACCCTACCTATCGACCCATCAACTCATGAACCGGGGACAAACGGGTTTACTTCCTTTCCGAAGGAAGGCGTGATCAGAGATGATCACCCAACAAACAATTCAGAGTCACAAATAAGCATATATATTGAATAAATGCTTTATAACAGTGAACAATGCTGAAAAAACGTCTTGTCAAATTATGTGCTGAAAAATCCTCATTGGGATCAATAGTTGTGCCTTTATTCCGCTGTTTGCTCTGATTTGATTAATATACTTATTAAGCTATATAAACATTCCTTGTCGAACGTTCGACTGATCAAGTTCACTTTGTGCTACTCTCCACCGTCACAAGTTTTTTTTTTCTGCGCTCTGTATATTGGATTTTTTCCCCGAACGGTGTTTTTTTGATCCACTCCCCTGCTAGTGACTAAAGCAAAAAGTGCCACTAGCGGACCAAGACGCTCAACTCTGGAAGCAGCGGCCTCGGCGAGACCGGAGGTTCACCCGTCCAACTTTAACGCCATCAACCGAGTCATCCCATCATCCGATCGCACCATCACATCTGCATCGTTCAACAGCAAGGTCATCAGCCGTACCTACAGGGTGCGTAAAGAATGTTTGCAGTAAATTTCAAATAGTGATTTCTCATGCTTGTGCATCATGATTTAGATATATTTGGCAGCACTGGATAGCTTATACTGTTAGGTGTAAGATTTAAACAAACAATGTTGAGTAAACGTAAAGATGTCGAAACAAGAGAGCAATCTGTCAGCCGTTGTCGCTTTGTTGCGCGCCGGAGTATGCATGAAAGAAATAATTCGGTCGGTAAATGTGTCTGAAAGAACAGTGTATAATATTAAAAAAGGCTTAAGAAAGTGATAAGACGGAGCACCTGCTCATACTGCTAATAAAGCACAGAAATGGCTTACGGAAATTATTTCGAAAATTTGGGAGGAAGAAATTTGGCCCCCAAGCAGTCCCGATATCAATCCGTTGGATTATTTTGTATAGGGCGTCGTCCAACGGGATACCAATAGAACCCCTCACACCACACTTAAGTCGCTAAAAGCTAAAATCAAGGCAGTGATGACATCTATGGATCGAAACATTTTAAAACGTGCATACTGCAGTTTCCGGAAGCGTCTAACTACAGTCGTTGAAAGGGAAGGCAATTTTTTTGAATAAATTTACTTACAACTTCCATATGTTGCGAAAGAAAATAAATCGCACAAAATTCATTGCTAGAATAACTAACTGGTGTATTTTTTCTCAAATATGCCATTTACTGCAAAAATTCGTCACGCACCCTGTACAACACAACAACAGATTCGGGCTATCCAAGCGGGCCCTTTGTTAGCCAGCACGTGTTTTTGCCTGCATCTATAGAATACCCACTGCTTCATCGCATAGTGGATTTCTTCTCCGTTGGGAAGACGCGCCATCCCGGTATAGAGAGATAAGTAATTTTTTTTTTCATCAGAAGTTTTTTTTTCTCTGTTTGGTTTGTTTTTTGATTTTTAAGATCTGATTAATTCCCCTACAGCGTTGCTTACCCTTTCTTGCTTATTATTTAATTTATATACATTAGTTTCCCTTGTTTTTATTATTATTATTATTATTATTTTTTTGCTGAGCAATTTACCTAGAGTGCGGTAGATTCTATCCCATATACTTCTTTTTTTTTCTTTTTTCATTTTTAATTATTGATTGATTTCAAATTTGTGGCAAGGAAAATATTTGAATTATTAACATCAAAGTTTTCTATACATTCCATTGCGGTGATACCTTAAGGCACCGCAATGGATGACAAAAATAAAGGCGGGGGATTGTCGCTTGACATCTCAGATGATGGGTCAATTAAGTCTCCTTCATTTGATAAGCTCGATTCTTCTGAGGAAATGGATATCCTTGAAGAATCACTTGATTTGCTCACCAACAAAAACACTGGAGCCTACCCTAAAGGGAGTGTCAAACCACTGCCTCCTTCTCCTCCTACTCCCCCTTCTCCACCATCGTCACATCGTCTACCTGTTCCCCCTACTCCACCCGTTCCCCCAAAAACTTCTGCGACCCCCCGCCACAAGGCATACCCTGATGACTCGAAAGGTCCGTGAGTTGTATTTTTCCGGCCCAAACAAAAACCTTTGAATATTACTCGGATTTCAAAAGATCTGACAACACATTTCTCGGCCGTTACCGACATTTTTAAAGTGACGCCAAACAAACTGCGAGTTACCGTTGACGACCGGAAGCAGGCCAACCAGATCGTTGTATGCGAGCGTTTTTCGATAGAATATCGAGTCTACGTCCCCAGTCGTGATGTAGAAATTGAAGGAGTGGTCACCGAAGCGAGTCTAACTTGCGAAGATTTCTTGCACGCCGAATCCTTCGGCATCTTCAAAAATCATTGCCTCCCAAGAGTCA